GTTCCCCTCCCCTTTTTTGTTTTTAGAATAACAGCCTCCTGGTCTATGTACAGGTCTCTCATGAGCACAATCCAGTGCACTGGAATTCCTACTCCTCACAATATAATGCATGGAATCAAATGTTTTTGGATAATCAATAAAACACAAGTAAACATCTTTCCAGTATTCTTTGTTTTCAGCCAAGATCCATCTGACATCAACAATGATAGCCCTCATTCCACATCCTCTTCTGAACCCAGCTTGCATTTCTGAAAGATCCATGTCAATTTATTGCTGTGACCATTTTTAATTATCTTCAGCAAAATTTTATTTGTGTGTGATATTAATGATATTGTTTGATAGTTTCCACATTCTGTGGGATCACATTTCTTTGGAATAGGTACAGATATGGATCTCTTCCAGTCAGTTGGCCAGGTGGCTGTCTTCTTAATTACATGGCATAGATGAAAGTAGTGGCTTCAGCATGGTATCTGTTTGTTGAAACATCTCAATGGGCATTCCATCAATTCCTGAAGGCCTTTTTTTTTTTGCCAATTCTTTCAGTATAGCTTGGACTTCTTCCTTCAATATCATTGGAAATAGCTGAACATCAATCAATTTTTTTTTTTGTACAGTGACTCAGTGTATTCCTTTCATCTTCTTTTGTTACTACCTGTATCATTGAATATTTTGCCCCTAGAATCCTTACATATTGTAACTTGAGGCTTGAATTTTTTTCTTCAGCACTTTCAGCTTGAGAAATGCTGAGTGTGTTTTTCCCTTTTGTTTTTCTAACTCTAGGTCTTTGCACATTTCCTTATAATAATTCACTTGGTCTTCTCTCTTCTGGCAGTTTACCATACTGTAGGGGCTTGCATGTTTCTGTGAGTATAGAGGCTATGCCACCATTATTTCAAACACCAGCAGAGTCACCAAGGTGGACAGGTTTCAGTAGAGCTTCCAGATTAAGACAGACTGGGAAGTAGGAAGAGGCTATCCACTTCTCAAATAATAGGCCAGTGAAAACCTTATGAATAGCAGTGAAACACTGATATATTACTGGAAAATTTTATGAGTAGCCCTGCAACATTGTCTGATGTAGTGTCATTAGATGATTCCCTCGAGTTGGAAGGAAATCAAAATATGACTGAGTAAGAGCTGTCTCCTCAAAGTAGAGTCAACCTTAATAACATGGATGGAGTAAAGCTCTCAGGATCTTAATTTGCTAATGGGACAAGACTCAAAAAGAAAAGAAACAGCTGCAAAAATCTATTAAGTACTGGAATGTGGGAATGTATGAAGTATGAATCTTGGAAAATTGGAAGTGGTCAAAACTGAAATGGAGTACATAAAGATTGATATTCTAGGCATTAATGACCTGAAATTGACTGGTATTGACCATTTTGAATCAGACATATTATCTACTATTCTGGGAATGACAAATTGAAGAGTAATGGCATTGCATTCATCATTACAAAGAATGTTTTAAGATCTGTCCTGCAGTGCAGTGCTGTTAGTGATAGGATAATATCCACATGCTTACATGAAAGACCAGTTAATACTAAACTCATTGCCATTGAGTTGATTCTGACTCATAGCAAACCTCTTTGGGTTTCTGAGGTGGTAAATCTTTATGGAAATAGATTGCCCAGTCTTCCTTCCATGGAGTGGCTGGTGGGTTTGAACCACCAACTTTCTGGTTAGAGGTTAAATGCCTTAGGCAATAAGCCACCAGAGCTCCTTAGTTAACACTACTATTATTCAAATTTCACACCAACCACCAAAACCAAAGATAAGGAAATTGAAGTTTTTCACCAACTTCTGCAGTCTGAAATTGACCATATAAGCAATCAAAATGTGCTGATGATTACTGGTGATTGGAATGCAAAAGTTGGAAACAAAGAAGAATCATGAGTAGTTGGAAAATATGATTTTGGTGATGGAAATGACACTGGTGATTGCATGAGAGAGTTTTGGAAGACCATTGACTTATTCATTGCAAATACCTTTTTCAACAAGATAAATAGCAGCTATACATGTTGACCTTGCTAGATGAAATACACAGGAATCAGATCGACTACATCTGTGGAAAGAGGCAATGGAGAAGCTCGGTATTTTCAGCTAAAACAAGACCAGGAGCTGACTATGAAACAGACCATTAATACCTCATACGCAAATTCAAATTGAAGCTGAAGAAAATTAAAACAAATCCACAAGAGCCAAATATGACCTTTATTATATTCCACTTGAGTTGAGAGATCATCTGAAGAATAAATTTGACACAATGCACACCAATAACCAAAAACCAGATGAGTTGTGGGGTGATATCAAGAACATCATACTTGAAAAAAATAAAAGATAATTAAAAAAGACAGGAAAAGAAGGACAGACTAAAACAGATGTCAGAAGAAATTAAAACTTGCTCTTGAATGGAGAGTAGCTAAGCAAATAGAAAGAATGACAAGATAAAAGAGCTGAACAGAATATCATGAGTATATGCAAAGTTGTTTAAAAATCACTTGGATAAAACCTTAAGAAATATGGACTCATATAATAATGACATTATCTATTGAATTATATCTTCTAATTAAGTCAAAGAGAAGGTCTCAATTTAGTGTTGTTTCAAATTTGATGACTGGAATTAGATGATTTCATTGTTTGTTCTCTTTCCAATCCCTGTTCTATGAATATGTTCATATATGAGTTATATCAGTCAAGGTTCTACAGAACAAATATGATGGACATCTATCTATCTGTGTATGTATGTACATATGTATGTATGTATGTATCTATGTATCTATAAGAGAGGAGCTCTGGTAGCGTAGTGCCTAAGACATTTGACTGCTAACCAGAAGGCTGGCAGTTCAAACCCATGAGCTACTCTTTGGAAGGAAGATTGAGCAATCTTCTTCTGTAGTAGTAATGCTTCAGAAACCCAAGGAAAGGTCTCTGTGAGTCAGATCTGACTTGAAGTCTGTGAGGTCTATAAGAGAGACCTGGAGAGATAAAGAGTGAGGCCTAATGTTGCAATGGTTAAGTGCTTTCCCGCTAATGGAGAGTTCAAAAGGTCAGCTGGGTTGTTGGAACACACTTGCTGCTCTGTGATAGAAAAGACCTAGTAATTTTCTCCCATAAAAATTTCAGCCTAATTTACCCCATGGGGCAGTTCTACTCTATCCTTTTGGGTCCTTATGTGTCAGAATTGACTCGCTGACACCTGACAACAAAAGTAACAACAGACACAGACACACACATATATGTGTGTGTTTGTATATACATATATATATATATATAGAGAGAGAGAGAGAGAGAGAGAGAAAGAGATAATGACGGGAGTGACAGAGAGCCAGAGAATGACAGACAGAAACAAAGAGAGTGATTTACTTTAAGGAAATAGCTCATGCTATTATGCTGGCTGGCAAATCCAAAATCCAAAATCCATAGGGGAGGTCAGTACTGGAAACTTGAACAAGAAATGGAATGGAGAGGATTGTAGTTACCCTTTCAGGAATATTACTGTATACTAGTAAAACACATAATTGATAAGTTCTTTCCTCCTCGGAAGGAAGGTTGAGCAATCTACTTCCTCAGTGAAACCACTTTGGAAATCCAAGGAGGGGTCACTATGAGTCAGATCTGACTTGATGGCAGTGAGTTTGGTTTGGTTTGAGACCTCTTCCATGTAACATCCTAAAATAAATGTTGACAATATATTTAAACAATATCTGGTCTATGGGCTGCAAAATTATCAGTTATCCCTTAGTTTTCACATACTATAATCCAAAATTAAGTATGCCCACAGTTTCTTGAATGGAGAACTTGACAGAATAGCACAGCAGAAGATTTTGTGGCCTGAGATTCAAGAAATGAAGATTCTTCTCTCACCCAATCAATTTGGTGGTGCTATTGAAATGACTAAGAGCCCTGGTGGTGCAGAAAAAAAAAAAGCAGAAAAAAACCAAAATCCAGCATGCATAGAACTTCTTAATCCTATTGCTCTAGAGCGCTCCAATGGTGAAGTGCCTAAGGCATTTGACTGCTAACCAGAAGGCTGGCAGTTCAAACCCACCAGCCACTCCTCAGAAGAAAGGTTAGGCAACCTACTTTCGTAGTGATACTGCCTCGGAAACCCAAACAGGGGTTGTATGAGTCAGATCTGACTTGAGGGCAATGGGTTTTCAAAGACCACATACAAAAAAAAAAAAAAAAAAGCATGCAAGTTTTATTTATTTTCTTAAAGGGGGATTGCAACTTATTGAATCTATCTGCATTATTGGTGAAAGCAATACCAACTCTTGAACTAGATAATTTGTACTGAAGACTGAATCTGCATTGCAATTAGTACCCAGAAACAAAAAATATGATTTGTTGAGTGGAAAAGCAATATGCTCTGTAAACTTTCATCCAAATAAAAATTTAAAAGAAAAAAAAGTTAAAGACTGGTGAATCCCTGAGACTATGAACCGAATTCACTCTTTGGGTCTGGAATTGTACTCATTCCCGTGGCTTAACTCTCAGCCAAACTGTAGAGAAGCCTATAAGATGAACTATACCAGTGAGATGCATTTCTTACAGTCAACCATAGGAGATCAGAAGGGCAGCATTGGCACAGGAGGAAGCTAGGCTGGCAGAAAAACATAAGTAAGGACACAGGGATGGGCTAACCACAGGAAGGATGTAGGAGAGCTGTTACATTGTGGGGATTGTAATCAGTGTTGAAAAACAAAATGTGTATGTAAAATGAATCCTCGGAAGGCAGATGGAGCAATCTACTTCCATAGAGATACTGCCTCAGAAACACAAGGAGGGATCACTCTGAGTCAGATCTGACTCGATGTCAGTGAGAATTGAGTTTATATATATATATATATGTATATATATATATATATAATATAAATGTATGGAATGAAGATCATTTCTTCTTAAAGCATACTATGAAAGACAATGAGGACTTGTATTCAGTTCATATCTTCTTTTTCTATTGCAGCAAAACTGAAGAAGATAAAAAGAATAACAATGGCAAGGAAGAAAAGGAGAAAGCTGTACCCGAAAAAGTTAAGAGAGAAGCAGTGCAGGTAGTTTGTTTCAGATTGGCACAACCTAGTAAATGTTCTATGATCTGTCTCTCTATAAGACTCCTACTCCTCCTCCTCATCCCAGCAACCACAGTGGCTTTAAAAATTGACATGTTATTAGCTCATCATGTGTAGTACGACCTCCTCTCACTTAGTATTTTAACTCTAAGTCAGATCTAATTGTTTAGGTATTAGAGAGTAGTTCAGTGACCCTTTGTGAATGATAATACTCCAAGAAAGAAGAGTATACAGACTGTCATTTTACTGCCTGAATGTAAATCACTAGGAGAGGTTCAGATTTTTTTCTATACTTTGTTGTACAAGGGATATTTAGCTAAAAAAAATCTAAGTTTTGGTCCCAATTTAACCCCAGCTCAGTGAGATTTTTGGAAAAGTTACATTAAGAACACCTTTAAGCCTTTGGTTCCCAATGTATAAAATTTTACATGATGATAATAATGATGAGTATGATGATGATAGTAATGGTGAAAGCTACTAATAATTTAATTGCTATTATATGCCAGCCACCACTCATCTGTCACTCTGTCATACTGTGGTGGCTTGCATGTTTCTGTATGGCTGGAAACTATGTCACTGGTATTTCAAATACCAGCAGGGTCACCTATAGTGGACAGGTTTCAGCAGAGCTTCCAGACAAAGACGGACTTGGAAGAAGGAAGGAGCATCCACTTCTCCAAGAATTGGCCAGGGAAAACCTTATGAATATCAGTGAAACACTGTCTGATATGTTACTGGAAAACTTTACAAATAGCCCTGAAACATCATTTGATATAGTGCTGGA